TCCCTTTCTCTCAGAAATCAGTAAACATAACTTTAAAAAGAAAAGAAAAAGAGAAGGACGAGGAACGTTCTTTTCACTCCAGTTAGAGGCCAGAAAGAAGCATTCAAGATGAGAGTATGACAAAGATGGTAAAGAAAAAAAACATAAATCGGGCTTGTTTGGAGTTGGGGCTCAACTGTTCCTTGTTGTTCGCAGCTATGGAGTAAGAAGGCCTGGTCCTCTCAGTGTAGTAGTTGCCTTTAGTAGTTAACTTGGTTGCATACTAGAGTCACCTGCGCACCTTTCACAAATCCCAGTGCCAAGGCTGTGTCCCAGACCATTTCAATCAGAATCCTTGGGGTAACACCAGGTGTGGTATCTTTCTAAACTCCCAGGTAATTCTGGTGTGCAGCCACGTTTGAGAGCCACCAGCTCACATGCATGTTAAGTCGTCCTTAACATGCTTAAGGCTGATTCTCATCATGGTCCGTGAGGAAATGCACACCTCAACGTAAGTATCCACAATAGTTTATTATTTGAAAGACTTTACAAGTGGAAGCAACACGTGTTTTGGGGGGTGAACCAGAGCAGGAGCTGGAGTTCCCGGGGGAAGAGACCAGTGGGTCTCCTCTTAGAGAAGCCTGCTGTGCAGGCCGGTCTGTGTTCCCACTTCAGGAGGTTTTTACTCCGTGCTCTGCTTCGTCCACTGGAAAGTGCACTTGACGTTGTTCCAGCTCCTTCCCCCACAGCTTCCAACTCAGCAGCAAACTGTAAGGGACAGATTTCGTCACCAGTCGTGTCCCTGTGGATAACATCTGAACATTCTTTCGGACATGTCATAGGCCCAACTTTTCATTCTCCCAATTCAGACAGCTAGAGAGGCTTGGAAATCTTCTGTACAATCAAACACATAAGTACTTAGAGGAAATCTGTCTTTCAGATTCAGAGCTGTGGTAGGTCAAGACTTGATTGAAAATTCTAAAGGTTTTGTGGAGTAGTTAGAAAACGAATTATAAAACAGCTTTGCAGAACTTAAGCATCTCCTG